AACATCACTCTAATATTTGGCATTGTAAATCTTATCCAGCTCCCCACATACAAAAGGGAAATTCTAGATTCTTATCAGCCATGTCAATCCACGTGAAACTTCATCCATTTAATCTAATTGGCAACAACCCTTTCCACAGCATAAAGATTTAGAATCCAGTGGGTAACTGAGGTTCAAGAAATGCACAGCTGACTGGTGAGGAGATCAGGTGGACTGTTCACTACTCTTCTGGCAGGAAGATCTGCTGGTATTTACAGCTCAGTGAACAGAAAGGAGGGAGAGAGCATCATCCATCAGCAAAGGAGAACTCATCTGCTACTTGATCTGACATTCTGTTCGGCTCATGCTGTCTCCAGAGAGCAAGGTGCATCTATTTGAATAAACATGGAGACAGGAGAAAGGGAGGGAAGCAAAGCAGCCAACGAGATGACTGCAGAAATAACAAGTCCACAATCTAGAAGAGTGGCTCTCGATGGAATGCTAACTCAAGATGGGACCCTTCGGGCATGTGTCAGAAACACCCTTTGAGATGGTTCCACTTTCAGAGTCATGGCTGCAAGTTGCCATTTACCTCCACTAATGCCTGCCACTTGGCAGATGCTGATCAGCAATGTGCTAAATAATACAGGATTGCCTGAATCCAAACCAAAGAGGAGACATCCTAATTACAAAGTCAGGGTAGTTGGGAGGAGAAAACTGAAAACCACCAACTTTTTGACAGAAGGTGTTTTTTTTCCTGACAGGGTGGGGTCTGTCTTTCTAACCACATCCCACTTGTAAAGGCTATAAAGGATTTGTATGAGCAATCATGTCTTCATCAGGAAAATCTGTTAGATGGGTTTAAAACAGCACTGAGCAGGTACCTTGCAAATGAACACACAACTGAGATGCTCCATTTTGCTGTGTCCATTTAGGTAAAGCCTGGCAGCCAGCAAGCCCTGCCTCATCACCACCTCGGAAACCTCTGTTTAATGCTCCAGAGGCAGATAGCCTGAACTCAGCATCCCAGCAAACTCAGCATCTCGAATGAGGGCAAACTGTGGTGCCCACAGCAACTGCACAGTTCATTTCGCATTTTAATCACGTTCACAGTCTAAGCAGTTGTCATTATCGGTTCAGAACAGGGAACTTGCTTAAAGTGATACTTTATTGATTCTATACCTCATAAAATATGACTCTTTAAGCAATTTCTTTGTAAGCGTTTGTAAATTCAATAAAATGGACACATCTTTTAAAAAGTTGTATTAGTCTGAGTAACTTAAGAGCCTTGTTGATTAGCTGCAAAACACAGACAAGGCCACAACCCCTTAAAATAAGCAAAATTATTTAAAATGTCATGCAGGAAAAAAAAAGAGTCACTGATTACTCACAGTATGTGTAAACTATATTTGTGCTGTATCAATTATCATTGTTTATTTCTCAGTACTGAAATGTTTTGGACTGACACAGAGCTCCCAAATGCTAACTCACAATACACAAAGGAAAATAATCTCAGAAAGCTATGTTCAAGTAGAATTTTTAATAATAAAAAAGCACTGAGAATCAGCCTTCTAAAAATGACAATTTAATCTGTGGCATCTCTTAAGCAGATGCAAGTTTCCTTTTGTGACATGTATCAAGCAGAAAAAATTTCAAAGGTCAGTCTTCCTGCAATGTTCCTGGGCTGATGATGGTATCGACACTTTGTTCTAAGAAGCGTCTGCCAGCCAGTCTTTATCATTAACTTCAGTTACTGCGGACATATTTGGAAGCCTACTCCTTCTTCTAATCAGCATACTATAACAAGATGAGGACACAGGCTGAACAGAAGCCCTCTTTGCTCTTCTGGAAATGCTGAGCAAAAGGGTCCGGCACTGTCTGAATATCAATATTCTTCTTCAACCCAATGGGCTGTACTACTAAACTCCAATCCCCATTAGGCAATCCCACAGAGGACTCCTTAACTGCCTAATTTCATCTGCCCAGGTGAAATAACACAGCATCCTAATTAACTTATACACATGGCCTGATAGATTGGTCACCAATCATATGCCATTGGGAAGTGGGAAACTGCTTTCTGGAAATGCCACCTAGATTTTCAGGCTGGGCCCCACCCAGAAAGTACAATTCTCCTGACTCAAAGTGACTCTCACTCAAGTGATGATCTCTAAAACCATCTCTGCAAATGAGACTCAAAAGAATTTGTCACTAGGATACAGTGACACCAATCCCACAGTTTGTGGTTAATAAAACAAGCTGCATCCAGTTTGGCTCAAGGCCCTGATCTGATTTATTTCAAGCCAAGCTGCAGGGCTCACAGGAAAAACTGCCATTCATGAATGCTTCAGGAGGCTAGGGTCCCTTGTGGCAAAATTTACATGGCCAGACACCTTTCTGATGGACCTTTTGGGCAAACTTAGTCTATTTCCTAAAGAGAGATGGTATGTAGTGCTTTAAAATTTTTGTTTTAGCTACAAAAGCTCAGTTTTGCTTGACATTTTTCTCCAAAAAGGTGTTCTATGGGAGTTAAGAAAAGAGAAAATCTAGGATAAAGAGATAGAGGAAAAAATAAATGTCCTGCCTTCTGATTTAATTGTCTCAACACCAAACACTTCATTTCCTCCCTCTTGTGTTACCAAATATGAGACACATAGGACTTTCCCCAGAAAGCCTATATATTGCCTTCATTTAAAATTTCCTGCCCCAGTACATAATTAGGAATTTTCATTCTAAAGTGGCACACCTATCTCCTCAGAGAGCTCAGCTCTCTTTGAGTAAAAAAGGCAAGATACCCTTTGGGGGACTCAGTATGTATTTTTAAACTTCTTATTAAATCAACCTAATTTATGGGGCATGCTCAGGAAACGCAGATAATGTGTCGCTTTGGTAAATGCGAAGTTAATTTGCAGACTAAACTGTCCCCCTCCTACCTTTCCCTCCCCGGTTTCCGAATGCGTTCGGCTCCCTCCGAAGTGGCTCGGTTCTCTCCGCCAAGCCCAGACTCGGCTCCGAACACTACCGAGTTCCTCCGAGCCCCGCGCCCAGGCCGAGCCGAGAAGAGCCGAACGTCTCCGAGCTGAGTCCCATCGACTTTTCCGGCCTCGGCTGGGCGCTGTCCACCACTCACAACGCCTGAAACCTCACCCAGCTTCGGTGGCTGGGGCTTCTACCGGGTTCCCAGCCTGCCACTGCAGATTACAGACTTCTGAAGTTTTGAAACGTCCCCCCTAGGGAGAAGGGGGTGGCGGGTTGCATTTCCCGACTTGCTAGGGCTCCAGGCAGATGCAACATGCACCTTGTTGCAAAGAGCAATTCCCCAGGCTCCGCCTCTCCATCCATTTGGGTTGCAAGACCTCCAGAGAAGCCCCAGGCCAAATTACCGGGTGGCTCACAAGGGTGCGGCAGCGGCGAGCGGAGCCAGGGGGCCTCTGCGAAAGAAGGCTCCAGGGAGCTCTCGAACAAAAATAAGAACACGCCAAGCAGATGGGGGAAATTGTCTCTGAGTCGCTACTCCCTGCCATCATGGCGCCTCCTGGATCCCGCTTGTCATGCCTGTTACACATGCAAGATTTTTTTGCTTCTTGGTTCTGAAACCGCAAGCATGCTTCGTCTCCCACCCACCTTCCCACGAAAAGGGTTTTTATTTTCCATTGTTTTCCTGCGGGATGCAATTACTTCGGCTATTCTGTCAAGTTGAAAAATAATCATTTTTGTTTACTGCACAGCAACCTCTAATTAGGAACTGTGTGTGCACGAAGGTGTCACAGCAAAGCGACGTGGAATCCTCGCTAAACAGTCTTAACGAACTCCTCCGTCCTGAACTGACAGGCCAAGGAAGCAGCAGGACCGGGAGGCCCCGAAGCCGCGCACCCCTTCCCTGCTGGCCACCCCCTCCCCAAGCAAAACTGCTTGTGGTCTCACCAGGAACTGCCAAGTGGATGGGGCAAGAAGCGAGCCTGCGAGTGGGAAGGAGGGGCGAGGCTCCTTATTGAGAAAGTGTGGAAGGGAAGGAATATCCCATTTTGCTTTAATTTTCAACTATCACTCAAATCCACCCCCAGTTAATTAGGAGGGGAAACTGATATCTAAGGCAGAAGGGGGCGGCGGCAAGTGGGGCCTGAAATCCGCAATGTGGGTAAATTACAGGGAACACACGGCCTATGCAGAGTGTAAATAAATACATTGATAAAGGTCACGGAGCGAGTGAAACCTGCCAGTGTCAAGCAAGCAAATGTTGGGAGAGTCGGGAGAAGGGCCTGGGGCGACAAGGGGCAACGGGCATTCAGTCCTACAGCCATCCTCGGTACCCCTTCCATCTCAGCCTTGGATACAGCTGTGCCTGTCACATC